CCATCCTTTATCTACCTCCACTCACTGTCTATGCATCTCCCTCTACAACCCACCCATCCCTACTCAGCCCCACCCAGCATCTACCCACACCCCACTTACCCACCTACCATCTGTCTGTCCCCCACCTTCCCCTTTCATCTACACACTCCTCCTTCATCATCCCACTCACCCATCATCCAACCAGCCAGTCATCTATTTCCTAATTTAGTCAACACTTGTTTGAATTACTTTTGAGTATCTACAGAAACTTCAATTCTAACAAATCCCAATAAATGCTCATCCATCCATCCAGATTGCCATGTTTCCTCTGTCAACCAATACATGCCAAACCTGTACCTTGCCAGGCCCTGGGCTGGGTGCCATGAGGCAGAGTGGAATGAACCAGATCCATCTGTGCCCTCAGAAATATCCCCACATGAGAGGCAGCTAAACCCCATCCCGAGTGGCAGAGATTTTCTTAGTGAAGCACCTACTATGTGTCAGACCCTGTGCTCAGCACATGTATGTCTTCTCCTGTCCATTCTTAACATCCCTGCAAAGGAAATGCTGTTATTTTCACATTGCAGTTGCAGAAACTGAGAACCAGAGAGTTGAAATGACTTGTATAATGCCACTTAGCTGCTTACACAGTGGCTGATCTGGTTTTCCTCCCAGACCTGAAATCTCCCACTATTCTATACTTAAATGCCAGGTAGAAACACCATGTTCCACCATATGCTGGGGTTTACATGAGGGAGAATATTCCAACCACAAACAGTCACAGGAGGCTTCTTGGAGGAGGTGGCTTTTAGCCTGGGCAACTGAGAGGCTTATAAGCAGGAAGAAATAGTAATGTTGGGAGATCTCTGGGTAAGGTGATAGGAAGAAGATTTGAGCCATTGCCCAGCTGTGTTTTAGATGAGACACTTGGGCTCTCTGAGCCTCAGTTCACGAATTTATAAAATGGGCATGATAATACCTGCTTTGCAGGGTGGTTGTGAGAATAAACAATTTAGATATCTGGACCTTTGGAGCAGGTTTTCTTAACAGCAAACACCAAGACAGTTTACACCAGATAATTCTTGGCCAATCACTAGCTGTGCTGTATACTCCAGGCTGTTCAACATCATCCCAGCTCTACCCACTGGGCAAACTCCAACCAAAAAATGTTGAGACGTTGTCACAACCAAAAATTTCTTCAGAAATGGCCAAGTGTCCCTTGGGAGTCAAATCCCCCACTGAGGACCACGGCCTAGAGACACCCATGGGGCTCCCTTCCACACTCCCTCTGTATCCCCTCCTCAGCCAGCCTTCCCTGACCCTCTACTTAAAATGTCAGCTTCTCCTACCCCCATTGCCCACACTCCACTTTTAAAAAAATCACAGCAGCTTTTCCCTTTGAACAGACCACCTTGGTTACTGATTTATTTTGTGCATTCTCTCTCTTCTTGGATTGCTGTTCAGCATCTGAATGGCCGAGATCTCTGGCCTTTTTATCAACTGATGCAGCCCCAGCACCTAGGAGAGTACCTGGCACATAGTAGGTGCTCAGTGAATGAAAGAACAAGATGTAAGAGGAAGCACCTTGAGACATACAACATCTGAACCCACAGAGAAGCGGCCATTTTTATTTAAATTTGACAGAGGCCAGGATCTGACACCCTGAATTTATCCTCCCCTGCCTTTCTCATACACCCCCACCACTCATGGGTTGGGGGTGTGTGTGTGCAGAATAACAGCAGTTTAAAAAAGAATCTTTTTTCTTCTTTCCTGCTGGGGCTTGAGTGGGAGTGAATGCGTCAGTGCTTGGGGAGAAAAATCCTCTTCCCTGACTTGTATCTGCAGGTTTGTTATATAAAGCAGGGGAGCTTCCTCCTGACAGCCCTGCAAACCCACATTTGGGAATTGACGTAGCCGCCCTGCACCAGCAAAGGCAGCAGCCACCGAGCCCCAACCCCCATCTCTGGGTGGCCTCTCTGGTTTAGGGCACTCATATAGCAACTAATGGATGTCTGGCTGGACCGAGTTCTTTGGGGGCTCCCAGGGACTCTCTCAGAGCCCCCAATATCCACATAAGTGAGAATCTCCAAGGCAAACCTGGCCGGATGCCTGGTTTTTCCAGAAGGGAGAGCTGCAGCTCAGAAAGGTTGCAATGACTTAAGTATCCCCAGCAAAGTCACAGGCCAAAATTATATCCTAAAGCTTCAGATTGCTGAGGTTTCCAGGACTCCCCAGAACCCCCTCCCCATCCTAGGAAAGGAACCCTCACCCCCTCCTCAACCCTACCCCCACCACCCTTAGGTCCCCCCCCCCAGCTCAGAGCACCTCCTTTTCCTCCTCTTTCCAGAATGCCCTTGGAGATACTGGGGTACCACCACACAGAGGGCGACACATATATTTAAAGACACAGTAGCTGGGGTCAAAGAAGGGAGACCCCCCCAGGGTCAAGACTACTGCAAAGCAATATCCACCTGGTTCCCCGTCTTCCAGTTCTCAGTATTCCCACACTCAGGCTTCACAGTTCAAGTCCAGGGAGCAGGACGCAACACCTCACCGTTGCCACCCCTTCCCACCTGCTCCCTGTCCCACTTGTGGGTTTCCACACACAGAGGGACCCAGGAGACAGTTCACTCCATGGAATGCCCTGGAAGCTGGAGGCTGGTGCTCACTCTCCCAGAATTGCTGTGTGCCCTGAGGCAGGTTACCACCCTCTCTGAGCCTCCATGGGCCAGGATGCTCTCTCAGGAAGTCCGGGTGCGGGGAGCATCCATCGTGCTCCCCTCTGCGGCCATGCTTGCCCTCGCCTGCCCTGCTTGCTACTGTACATCTTTACACAGATTTCTGAGCCTCGTTGGGCCTCCATCTTATCATGTCAGGCGGGATGGCTCCGTCATGCCCTACCAGGTCTCCAGAAAGCCTGAGACTCCAGGCAGAAGCATTTTCTAGGCTGTGCTTGGGGAAGGGAGACTCTGGTGGAGGGATCAGGCTACAGACCAGAACAACAGGGCTAAGCCCATTCGCCAGGAGCGATGACCTTGACTTCCTCTGATCCTGGACCCTCTGCCTCTCAGGAGGCCCTGAAATCACAGCAGGCACTTCGGTCCTGCTTGGTCTGACTTGGGGCCAGAGCTGAGTCTCAAGTGTCAGGGCTTGGGGTACACATTAACCCTCAACTGGGAGACAAAGTCCAGTGTCAGCCCCGGCTCCCCTGGGACTCCCCAGAAGCCTCATCAGGCTGCCCCCAGCCCCTACCACCCGGGCACCCCACCCCAGCACCCTGAGCTGCCCACACCCCCTCTCACCACTGCCCTGCAGCAGCCACCTTTCTCCCTGGACCAGGCAGGGCAGGCGGCTCTCCAGACTAGCAGTCCTCACGCACAGCCCTGCTCAGGTGGGGGAGGGGCACATCCCTCACAAGGGGCCTCCTGGGCGGCAGTTTGGGGCCCTGATGAAGGCCTGAGGGGCAGAAGAGGGCTGGGGACACCCCCACCCGGCTGGCGTCCCCTGTCCCTCACTCACCGGCCAGCAGCATGGTCAGATGGCAGAGGGCAGCCAAGCGGAGCAGCCACGAGAGAGGTGGGGGGGACATGGCTTAGGGCAGGCGGGGGTCCGGGTGGGGTGCGGGTGGGGGTCCAGGCAGAACCAGCGCAGGTGGTCAGGGCCAGCGTCCCAGCTCAGCGCTATGTGTCCCCTCGCGCCAGAGCGCTGTCGCTTTTTATAATAGCTGGCTGCTGCCTCTGCCTCCGCCTCCACCCGCAGGCAGGCGGATGGGAGGGGAGAGGAGAGAGCTGGCAGTGGCTGCATTCCTAGGGATGTTGCCTAGGAACAGAGCAGCGTGAGGTTGAGGGCCCCTGGCTGGGGAAGCGCCAGCCCAGCGGAGCTCACCAGGGCGCAGCAGCCCTGCTCACACCTGAGACTGGCCTGGGAGGAGGGACCAGACCAGCGGGGGTTGAGACCTCCTCCCCTCCTGTGTACCTAGGACCACCTCCCTCCTAGGAGCTGGCACCAGACAGAGGATCTGGCCTGGGGGCCTTGCTCCCCAGGGGGCAATAAACACAAGGCCTGATGGGCAGAGGATTAGACAGTGCTGGTTGCAAGTAAGCGGGAAGCCCCCCCTTCGCCTCTGCCAGTCTGGGTCTGACAAGCTCTCCTCTGGTCTATGTGTTGTCTCTCCCACAGCACAGAGGACCCCACCCCCACCCCCACCATCACTCCTTAAAATCCTAGGTCCTGGGAGACCTTGTTCATCAGGTCCCCAGAGACCAGCACGGAGCCTGGGAGACATCATCCAACCCAACATCATGGAGAGATGGGGAAAAGGAGGCCCAGAGAGAGGAATCGCCCAGGTCACTCAGAGCGTGGGGTGGGGGCATATCCCCTGCTTTCACGAGAAGACTAGACATCCACAAGCTGGGGGCCGCTCAGAACACAGGCTGTAGCCCTGGCCTTCCCGCCTCCACCCCCACTCTCCTCTCCTCTCCCACTCTGGCCCCCTGCCAGCCTGCAGGAAGGACGCACTGCCAAGTGCACCCCATGTTACACCCCCTGTACTCCCTTTCCCAAGCACAGCCTAGAAAATGCTTGGAGTCTCGGGCTTTCTGGGGACCCGTAGGGCAAGATGGAGCCATCCAGCCTGACATGGTAAGATGGAGGCCCAAAGAGGCTCCATGTGTCATTCTGTACCTGCCTTGGAGGGGTCCTGGCTCTCTTGGGGTCTCAGTTCTCCAGCCGCACAGGAAGGCTGGCTAATCCCTGGGGAGGGGGCTTAGTGCTACTGATTTTCTAGTTCTTTCTCTTTTACAGGTGATGGGTGACACAGAAGTAGGCATGATCAGCCGTGAGCTCCCACCAACTTGATGGAATTGAAGGTGCTGGGTGTGACAGGGTCCTAGAGCAGTGGCAACCCCAGACTCCAGAAGAGTCTTGCTGGAATCCGGCCTAGCTTGGGGCCAGGAGTTATGGGTTCTGGATATAATCTAGGTATCTCTGGCAACCAGTCAGAAGAAACCAGTTTGTCACTGAGGTACTGTTCCAAGCAAAAGATTCAGTTAGTCTAGGTGGGGCTTGGCAAGTCTGGGAACCGCTCTTTCATCAAGCTCACAGGGTTGCCTGGGTGTGGAGTTAGGAGGCGGGGTGCTCCTTGACAGGGGTGAACACCCCTCACATGGGCCAGCATCCACTGGTGTTTGGAGAATCGGCCCGTGCAGATAGGAAGTTAGTCACCTTTACCTGTCCACTGGCTTTCACTTTATAGTTGGAATTGAAGCCCAGTAAAGAACAGGAAGCTATATAGAACAAAGATGCGAAGACGTACTTTCGGCTCTGCCCATGTGGTAGCTGAGAAGGAAGGCGGGGGACAAAGAGGAGAAGGGGAAAGGGCAAAAGGTAGGTTCTGGGAAGTCCCACATCTCATAAAGGGCAAAAGCCAGATAGGGCCAAGTACTTGGGAATAGATACCTTTGCTCCACTGATTCCAGATTACACTCAACAAGTCTAGCAGACTAGATTTCATTCAATGATCATTAAGATGTAACAGTGATAAGCAAAAACATTCCAGGGTAATACTGAACAAAACAATGCTATTTGATGACCCACTTTCATTATTCAGCCTTTCTTTTAAAATTGTAGTTTCCGAGAACTACCAACAATGTTAAGTGGGGACTTACTGTGTTTAGAAAACAAGAGTTTTAGGGCCCTCCATGGTGGTGCAATGGGTTAAAGTCCAGCACTGTGACCAGCCACTGCAGTGCCAGTTTGATTCCTGACCAAGGAGGTGACCCCATGGCACGGCAGACCTCTCCTGTCTCACCCGCTGCTCCCCTCAGCAGTGTATTTCAGTAGATCTGCCTGCTCTGCTCCCCACACTATCTCTGGTGAACCCTCTCACCTCCCCACCCCACTGGCCTGTATCCCTGTTCTTGCATGCATAAATAAATAAATCTTAAAGAAAAGGAAAACAAGGGGTTGGGACTCAAACAGCCCTGTCTGGCCCTAACTCTGTGTGCTCTGACAGCTTCCCTCGTGTTCTGAGCTCACATATATTCCCGACAGGCACTGTTTTAAGTGCCATTGTGACAACAAATCCCGAGTGGAAGCAAGCTGCAATTTGTGTGATCCACTTTCTGGTTGGGAAACTGAGACTTGCGGGAGTTAAGGTATATTCTGAAGATCACGAGCCAGAAAACGTGAGATTTGTCCCCAGTGGCTATGTTTGATGTCTGAGCTGATGATCACCAGGCCACACCCCCTTGGCAAGCAGTGCTATGAAGACTGTTAATTTATACCCATAAGGTGCAGTGTCCGGACCTGGCAAAACAGCTGCCTAAAGCACAAAGTACAGCTCTGCTTCTCCTTGTTCAGCCAGATAAAGACAGTGGCCCCTGAAGCATAGGTGACTGGCGAGAACCACCCATTTCACAAGGAAAAGCAAAAGGGCTGAAGAGTCAGAAGCACTGTCTCCCCTCTGACACCGGTGCTCCCATCCCCGAACAGGTGCAGAGCATCAGACTAAGAGCAGCAGACACCCCATGATCCTGGGCAAGCAGGGTTGTGCCCTGCACCTGTCTTCTTAGTAGAAGGCAACATATCAAGCTAAGGAAAGGAAGCTGCCCAGCTCAGCCTTTAAAAGCTAAAAATGAAGAGACAAAGGAATATACCACAAATGATGGAGCAGAAAACTCCCCAGATCTAATTCCACAGAGCAGGTAGCTTACCTGATGAAGAAACTAAAGCAATAGTCCTAAGCATGCCACTTGAAACAAGAACAGCCATTGACAAACAAAATGAGAAATAGAATGTGGGCCTTCCTGGTGGTGCAGGGGGAAGAGACTCAGCACTATCAAGCTGTCAGCAGCCTGCAGCACGAGTTCGATTCCCTGTCCCGGAGCTGACCCTCATGGTGCAGCAGACCTCTCCTGTCTCCCCGCTGCTCCCCTCAGCAGTGTGTTTCAGTAGATCTGCCTGTTCTGCTCCCCACTCTGTCTCTGGTGAATCCTCTCACTGCCTGCACCTCTGGCCTATGCCTCGGATTTTATAAGCATAAATAAATAAAAATAAATCTTAAAAAGGACAGAAACAATGTGAAAAAGCATCAATTGGAAACAATGAACTTAAGGAATTCTAAAGCTGAACTAATACAGCAAGGGGCTCAGCAGTGAACAAGAACAACAGCTGAGTCTCTGCTGCCTGCCTGCGACCAGACTGGTGTTTGTTTGCACAAGTATTTTCCCTTTGCAAACCAGCAGTGACAGCTCTTCAGCCTCCCTCTTTTTTTCTCCCCCCTTTTCCTATCCTTTTAAAATGTAAAAAAGAAGAAGAAGAAACAGTTGATAAAAATCTGTGAGCTTGACAAACAACAGTGGAAAATACACAGAAAAACCAGCAAAAATGAACTAAAAGCGAAATAATGAAAGAGCCTGATTGGGAAAATATTAAAGAAACAATATCTATGCCACTGGGATCCAAGAAGAGAACAAGAAAGAAAAAAATATTTAGGTGAGACTCTCCCTAACTTGGGGGAAAGAAATAGACATCTTGAAACTAGAGGCCCAGAGTTCCAAATGGAATAAATACAGAGATACTCCCAACCCTTGTTATAATGAAACTGTTAAAAACTAATGATAAATGAAGACTCTTAAAAGTGTCAAGGAAAAAAAAGTTATATATAAAGGGAAGATTATCTATGGATTTCTCAGTGGAAACCCTGAAGGACAGAAGAACATGAAACCATACATTTCAAGTTCTTAAAGAAAAGCATTTCCAGGGCCCTCCCTGGTGGCACAACAGGTTAAAGCACAGCACTAAGAAGCTACCCTTCCCGCCCAGGGAGCTGACCCACAGGGCACAGCAGACCTCTCCTGTCCCGCCCACTGCTCCCCTCAGCAGTGATTTCAGTAGATCCACCTGTTCTGCTCCTCACTCTGTCTCTGGTGAATCCTCTCACCCCACATCTATGGCCAGTACCCCATATCTGTATGCATAAATAAATAAAAAAAAAAAAGAAAAGGATTTCTAACCAAGACTACTTTAGACTATTGTTTATAGAGGGGATAAAGAGCTTTCCAAACAAAAACTGAAAAAATTCATCATCACTAAATCAGCCTGGCAAGAAATACTAAAAGGACTGTGATAAATGAAAATAAAGTCTATTTAGAAGCCGTAAGACACCGTCAATAGGTTGTGAGTATAGAACAGTGTAGAAAAACCACAGGATAAACTCGAAACAAAATCCACAGAACAGACAGATTAAGAAGTGCGAAAGAAAACCCAAACATCACACAGAATGAAACTGTTAAAGCACAAGAAAAGAGAAACACAAAGAGACAAAGAGGAAAGATGAAGTTTTGGTATTTGCCACAGAATGGAAGGAAGACGAGAGGATTATGAAAAGCAAACTTTAAAAGTGGAGAGAAATCATGGGTAATTGCTTATATATACGCAATATAAAGCCACGAAGTGGCCCTCCCTGGTGGCACAATGATTAGGACGCAGCACTGCAAGCTGGCAGCAGCCGCTTCCGTGCGAGTTCCATCCCCTGCCCTGGAGGTGACCACATGGTGCGGCAGACCTCTCCTGACCGCCCGCTGCTCCCCTCAGCAGTGTACTTCATCGATCTGCCTCTTCTGCTCCCCACTCTGGTGAATCCTCTTGCCACCCCTGCACCTCTGGCCTGTACCCCAGTTCTGTGTGCATAAATAAATAAATAAACCTTTAAAGACACGAAGTGGATTAGTGAGCAAAGGAAAATAAAGCCATGGTGGATATGGGATCCCCAGATGATGGGATCCCCAAGATCCCCAGAGATGGGAGTATAAAATGGATGTTGGTTGGGATTCTGTTTTGTTTTTTGATTCTTCTTTACAAAAATAAAGATGTTTATAATTCTGAATATATCTTATTACTGCTCCCTTGTGATGTCATTTGATCTGTTCCCCTTTCCCATCTATTTCCTGTAAACTGCAAGTTAGAGCTGCAGGCTTCACTAGATCACAGTTACATATTATAGACGAGAGTCAGCTTGGAGCCACGTGCTGCCTCCAGCCCCACCGCAGACAGATTGTTCCACTGTGGCCTTGACCAGGGGCTGTTAGATCTCACGGCTGGAGGCATCCCTCTCTCTGTGGCTTGCAAGAAACCTGCAATCCGAGGACAAGAGTGGGACAGGCCATTCCAAGCTGAGGGGAAGTCCTGGGGAGCACAGGAACTCTGCAAGGGGTGGGGAGTGGTCTGGGCCCTCGGCTTTGAGAAAGTAGTGGACTGGGATCTTGTAGCTGGAGTGAGGGATGAAGCTCGTCTTCAGGGTGAACTGGAGAAACGCTTAGAAATGGGAGCAGCATAGGCAGCAGGAACAAAGAAAACAAAGACTTCCTCTTTGTTCTGGGGAGGTGAGGGCTGGGGCATCCTTCCTAGACCTCCACAGATCCAAAGGGGTCTGGGTGGCTGAGGGCGGTGGCCTATACTGTCCTCTTGGGACATGAAGGATACCTCTGTCCCCCAGAAGCAGAACAGAAACAGCTGTGCAGAGCTGGGTGGGCCCGGAGCCAGGGTGCCCCTCTGGGACCCTGCTTGGTAGAAGGAAAAGTGAGGTGAGCATCCCCAGGGGTGCTGCTGGACAGGCTTGCCTGGCTCTTCCCAACCACTCCGTCTTGGCTTACTTTAGTTCTGACCAACAGAGGGAATGCCCACATGCACTTGGCATTTCCTCTCCCTGAGAACACCCAGGCCACATCCTTTTCATGTTGTGGTAAAATAAACATCATATAAAATTTACTGTCTGGACTGCTTTGTGTCGGCAGCTCCCTGGCGCTAAAATCATTACATTGTTATGCAATCTCCACCATTCATTTCCAGAACTTTTCCATTTTGCAAAACTGAAACTCTGAAGCTATCAACAATACATTCCCATTTCTTCCTCCTTGCTGCCCCTGACATCCATCATTCTACTTGCTGGCTCTACCCATCTGACTTCTCTAGAAATCAGGCAATATTTGCTCTGTTGAGGTTGGCTCTTCCCACGAGCCGTTATATCTTCATGGCTCACCTACTGGGGGCAGGTGTCAGACATCCTGTTTGAAGGCGGAATGATGCCCCACGGGCTTCCCCGCCACTCATTTACTCACTCAGTGATGGACACCTGGGTGGATTCCACCTTCTGGGTATTGAGGACACATGTGACTATTCAAACATGCACTTGAGAAGTGGCTGAGATAAGGAGGTATAATAGTCCAATGACAAAATAAGGAAAGATTTGAAGGAGGCTCTTCAAAGAAAATAATTGAACGGCCTTAAACACATGGAAGAAAGCATGTGAAAAACTTCACTAATCTCTGGAGAAATGCCAGAGGTCTTTTGGTTGTCTACCCAGAAGTGGGGTGCTGGGACAAATGGTGAGCCTGTGGTTAACTTCCTGAGAACCTGCCTTTCTGCTTTCCATAACTGCTATTTCCATCCCACCACCAAGGAACAACTTCTTCACCCCCTGGCCAACATCTCTTCTCTCTCTCTTTATTTTCAAGATTTATTTATTTATGCATATAGGCCAGAGGTGAAAGGGGTGAGAGGATTCACCAGAGACAGAGAGGGGAGCAGAACAGGCAGATCAATGGAGTACTCTGCTGAGGGGAGACAGGAGAGGTCTGCTGCACCATGTGGGTCAGCTCCCTGGCTGGGGATTGAATCAGTGCTGAGGTGGCTGTGCCTAGCTTCACCTCTGATTTAGCCTGCTTGCCACCAGGGAGGGCCCTCTTTTCTTTTTAATTATAACCATGGTGTGAGGTGTTCTCACTGTGTTTTTGACTGGCATTTCTCCAGAGATTAGTGAAGTTTTTCACAAGCTTTCTTTCATGTGTTTGAGGCCGTTCAATTATTTTCTTTGGAGAGCCGCCTTCAAATCTTTCCTTATTTTGTTATTGGGCTATTATACCTCCTTATCTCAGTCACTTCTCATAATCACATGTACCAACAGGTCCTTTATTTTTATCCTCTTGGCTTCTCAGAGGGAGAAGCTGAGGCTCAGGACAGAGAAAGCAGCCAGTGAGAACTCCTACATCTGCCTGAACCCACACTTTTCCTGGCTCCTCAGATGCATATCTGGGTGTATGCACTGTGGAATTTCCATTTCCACCCTGGAAATTCCACCCAGAGCCGGACTTGAAAGGGATCGCTGGGCCTCAAACAAGAACAATCACTGCTACAACAAAAAGTGGGTTCATTCAAATACAGACAGTGAGAGAGAGTGCAGATTGGAGAGTGAATTCTTGGGCTGACCACACACCATTCCCGGAATCCAAGCATCATCCCCTCACCCCCAGGGGCGCCAGACAGGCTAGGTCCTGTCCTTTGCTGACTTGCACCCATGCATGTCTGACTATCCTTTCTGCCTCCAGCCTCATTTAAATACGACTTTGAATATTAATGTTCTGACTAAGGCAAAGGTCACCTGTGCCAAGGTAGCCAGGGAATGGTTACTGGCTGAGAACGAGTTATTGAATGAATGCATGCATGAATGAGTGAATGAGAGAATTTGTTTCTTTTTAAAGATTTATTTATGCATACAGAACTGGGGTACAGGCCAGAGGTGCGGAGCCATGAGAGTTCACCAGACAGAGTGGGGAGCGGAACAGGCTGACTGATGAAGTACACTGCTGAGGGAGCAGCGGGCGGTTCAGGAGAGGTCTGCTGTGCCATGTGGGTCACCTCTGGGGCGGGGATCAAACTATTGCTAAAATGGCTTTAGCTTCTCAGTGCTGTGCTTTAACCCACTGCGCCACCAGGGAGGGCCCGAAAATATGTTTCTTAAGCCCTAAACTTGGGGAGTGGAGGAAGCCAGGTGGTGCGAGGTGGGCCAGGCCAATATGTGGACTCTCTGTCAGCACCTGTGCAGCTACCTTCCGAGTCTCCACCACCTCACAGGGTGAGCCTGAGCGAGCCAGCCAACATGTCAATGTCAAGGCCATGATCCCTGCCCCATCTCACAGGGAGAACAAATGCCAGAGAACAAAACAGACAGTTGTAGTAGAGGGTTTATTTTCTAAAAAGCCCAAAGGGCAAAGGCAGCACATTGGGGAGAGGGGCCCCAAGATACTTGAGGGCCTTGCACATGGGCATTGGGTAGTGCTTGAGGCAGGCAGGGGTGAGGTTGGGGGTGGGGGAGGCACAGGTCCCAGAATACTCTGAACTTTGTAGCTAGCAAAGTCATTCCAGGTGCCCCAGACCTGAACAATCCTGTAAGGTGGGTGTTCTCATGCTCAGGTGAGGTGCAGAGAGGCTAGGTGGTCTCCTTGGGGGTCACACAGCAATAACCACCCCACTGAGCTGTACAAGGCACCCGAGGAAAGGAGCAAGCACTTGTAAAGCTTATTTCCTGTACCTGAAGACTGTTATCCAAGGAGACACAAGTAAGCCCCCAATCCTGGCCCTTAACCTAATCCCAGTCACCGGAGAACAACCTCCACCAAGACTCTGCCACTTAACTGTGCCCTGTACACTCACTCGCAGGGCCAAGAAAACTCTACTTTGCTCCCCTCCCACACGGTTCCAAGGTTCTTCTATTCACCAATTTGGCTTCTTAAGCATTTGCTTGCTTTTCAAATACAAATATACCTAGAGCTTATACTCCCAAGTCAAGTATAGTCATTTACATCATAGCATGAATTTGGTTATAAACTATTTGGGGAAAGAAACAGAGCGAGTGAGGAACCCTGAAGGTATCAGGCCTGCATGATGGAGGCTGGAGAGGCATTGACAGCTGAAAGAGGGTAGAGAGCTCCAAAGTGCAGGTAACATGGGAACATTTGGGGCTTTGCAATGAACCTAGCTGACTCCTCTTGGTTGGCCTGGAGTCTCTATATTGTTGGGTGAAGGCTTTTGCGGGGTTGTGGGGGTGATGATTCATCGAGGGTGGGATTTATTGATTCAGTCTGCAGCTACTGTCTGAGCCCTGGTGCCTGGCTCGTGCCCTGCGGGTGTTGGAGGCAGGGAGACAAAAGTAACTCAGTTGTGGACCTGGTCCAGTCAGTGGGACAAAGGACAAGTCCCATATTCTGAGAATCTGGCAGATTCTGACTATAGCAGACTATATCAGGACTGCTAAGAGAAGGCAGGGAGCCGGGGGTGCCTAACAAATGATGCTCGGCTACTGGCTGCCTAGGCTGAGCGATGCCTTGGGGGGTTGGTGGGGGCTGCCCGCGTGCAGGTGCCGGGAGGGTTATTCTGAGTATCAGGAGCACGCAGGCGAGGGCAGAGGTGGAGATGTGGGGCAGGGAACTGGACCCCACGTGCATGAAGGGAAATGAGCTGAAGACAGATCTGGAAGGCGGGGATCTCAGCCTAGGGCAGTGGGGTGCCACGGCAGGATTTTGAGTAGGGGGTGACTGACCAGGATGTGGCTCTCTGGCTGCTGTGGGCAGAGGGTGGGCTAGAGACAGGAGGGGAGATGGGAGCGTTGGTGTGGACTCTTGGCAGAGGGCAGTAGCTGCGGGATGGAGATTGGGGGTACAGTGTCGCTGGCCCAGGCTGGTGTTGTGGAGCCACTGGAAGGCAGCAGGCGTTCGGCGAAGCTTTCTGAAGGAGCCGAGGCTGTGGCAAAGCCCCCCCTCATTTGTCCAGCTTCTGGAGAATCCTCTTCACCCAGAGATGTTTGGGGTCAGCACAGACCTCCAGTTTCTTGAAGGTCACCAAGCTGAGGGGAGACACGCGGGTGGGGGAGCAGGGTTAACATGCAGTGTGAACATACAACCCCCGCCCCGGGAGTGGAGGGTGCCTGAGTGCCTCTGGTAGCTAGACATGTCTGCTATAGAGAGTGGCTTAGCATTTAAGAGGCGCCTGCTGTATACAGGCATACCTGCAATGTGGAGCTGTTCAACTATGTGAGCGCTGCTGTATGCACACACGTCTCACAGCTGGGAGGGGACATGAGCGACAGACTTCTTGGGCCCTCAATCCTTGGACCCAAGGAATAGAACCCCCAAGTCTTGTGATATTGGCTGGCTAGTGAACCTGCTAATGAGTGAGTGCTCAGATTTTAACCCAGACACACTGGTTCCAAAGTGCTTCAGTTTATAGTAACTCCTCCATCTTCATCTTCAGTTTATAGTAACTCCTCCATCTTCATCAAAATCCTATGAGATTGGACTGGGATTGTCACTCCATATTAGTTGTGGAACCAGCTGATCGGGGTTAAAGTCTTAGCTCTGTCACTCGTTAGCAAGTCACTTAGCTTCTCTGAATCTGTTTTCATCATAAAGGCACGCTATAGTCCGTTCTCATAGGACTCTGATGAAGAGCTGAGGTATGAAGATAAACAGTGCTCAGCAGATTGCACTATGGTGTCAGTGAATTGCAGCAGGAGATGGCCTGAACTCTTGACACTGATTTTCTTTTTTAAATTAATATTCTTTTTATTTAAAGATTTATTTATTCATGCATACAGAACTGGGGTACAGGCCAGAGGTGCAGGGGCAGTGAGATGATTCACCAGAGACAGAGTGGGGAGCAGGACAGGCTAGTCAATGAAGGACACTGCTGAGGGGAGCAGTGGGTGAGACAGGAGAGTTCTGCCGTGCCATATGGGTCAACTTTGGGACTGAGGATCGAACTCTCACTGAAGCTGCGGCTAGCTTGCAGTGCTGAGTCCTAACCCACTGTGCCATCAGGGAGGGCCTGACACTGATTTTCTTAACAAATTCTTACAACAACCTTCTGCAGTCTTCTTATTTTACCCATTTGATATGGAGGAAACTGAGACCCAAGTGCCAGAGCTGGGAAGACGCAATCACTTCCACTGCTGTGACCTGGACTCTCAGGGGACACTGCCTTCAGAAAGCACCCCCTCCCGGCACCTGGGAGAGGCCTGACTGACACTCAGCGGAGACGTGTGCACTGCCCTGAGGTCACACAGCCACGTGGATGAAGGCTCCTGGCCTTGGGGCGCTCTGCTTCTGACACCCTTGGCAGGTGAGGGCTCAAAGCTGGCTCGAGATATCCCACCCGGAAGGCTCTTCCTTCCCTCCAGAGCTCCTGGCTCCTCTGACTCCCTGATTCCCTGCTCTGCCCTGCCCCCACCCCACAGACAGCAATGCGCAGAAAGAATAAAGAAGGCGGCTGCGGCAGCGTTCATCTTGACCTTGTGGGTTCTGTCCTGCTGCTGTGTGATACTGGGCAAGACTTGGCCCTCTCTGGGCCCCAATCGCCCCATTTGTGAAGCCACATTCTTCCTAGTGTCTGTTTTTGGCTTAAAAAATCTAATGATTGTATGGGTGCTGATTTTTATTGAGCATCTATTATGCGCCAGGCAGGGAGCATCACACTTCCCACTTATCCCTATGCCCTGTGAGACTGGAACCTGTCAGGGCCTATTTCTTCACCTGTACAAGGTATAGTACCTGCTGCATAGGCTTGTTTCAGAGATTGAGTGAATTAATATTTATTAAGTGCTTCCCACCATGCCTGCCACTTAGCAAGTGCTCTCTACCTGTGACAAATACAAATAAATGAAAGTGATTCCTCTCATTATACTGATGTTAAAATAGAGGCTCAGTGTTGAAAGAGCCAAGACCTTGAGAGGATTTCCTGCTTCTGCCTTATTTTTCACCGCAGGCCCCTCTAAGGGATGGGAGAGGAGAGAGCAGGAGGAAGGGAAGAGGAAGACGATGAAGCCCCGAGGGAACCTGATTCCTCAAGCCCTGGGGATATGAGGCCATAAGCGTTGAGGCCGTAGGCTGAGGACAGGCTGGCCACTCTGCCTGGGGTGGGTGCAGGCTCCAGGCCAGAGAAAAGAGACAAAGAACTGAGAGAAAGAAGGAAGGAAACCAAGAAGTTCTGGAGAAAGCTGTGAGCTGACTCAGGTGTCCCAGTTTGGGCCTGGGCAACCTTGAGCAAGGATCCTGAGACTCCTTCTCCACCTATAAATGGAGGGAGGGATCCCTCCTGATGGCCTAGGGGTGAAGTCTCAGGCTATCATTGCTGTGGCCTGAGTTCGATCCTCGGCCAGAGACCTGGCCCACATGGCACAGCAGACACTTCCTAACTCCCCACTGCTCCCCTCAGCAGTGTGTTTCAGTCCATCTGCCTGTTCTGCTTCCCACTCTGTCTCTGGTGAATCTGCTCAGCCCCCACACCTCTGGCCTGCACCCTAGCTCTTCTACAAACAAATAAACAAATCTTTACAAAGAAATAAAATGGAGGGAGGACTGTCATGGGGGTTGAAGGAGAAGACAGTCCTGCATACTCTCAGTGTGAGCTCTTGACACTGTTCTGCTAAGACAGGCTGACCTCGTGAGCCCCAGAGGCGTGGGGAGGATCCAGGGGCCTCCGCTGGGAGCATCTGAGCTGACCCGGCTCTGGGCAGAATGTACCCACCCGCTGCCTGGACTCTGAAGCACTATCCCGCCTGTGCCCCGTAGCCACGAGGGGAGGCCCTGCCCATGCTGTTTGCCGCCTCAGAACCTGGCATGGCACACCTGGCAAGTCTGTGGGGGGATCATGTGATTCTTTGTCTGGTACAAGATAATAGCCTGGGCTGAGCCTTCTGTTCCAGCCAAGCACACCCGGCTGGCACTGGGGACCCAGCTGCATGCCTGCCACCCTTGGGCTGCCCCGCCCTCCGGCTCCCCACTCACACCACGCCAGGCCTCTGGCACGAGCCTGAGGTCCAGTAGACATCCTTCACCACCCGAAGGGGCAGAGGGCGACGCATGTAGTCTCTGCAGCAAATGCTGTCCTCCACGTTGGCACCGTAGGGCCCTGGGGGAGGAGGGGCGCTCAGTGGACTCACAGGCTGGGGCACACAGCGGTAGATCTGCCTGTTCTGCTCCCCACTCTGACTCTGGTGAATCTGCTCAGCCCCCACACCTCTGGCCTGCACCCCAGCTCTTCTACAAACAAATCTTTACACCTGTGGTCCCCACTCTGGGCCTGCTTCTCTGTTCTCACGTGGAAGATTGTGTCCAGAGGGTTCTGGTCTTCAGAATCCCCGCTCCCAGGACTGCTGAGAGGCTGCTGAGAACCAGCATTCAACTCACGAAGAGGATGGCTGAGCACCTCGCTCCCAGGCTGCTAGACCCAGGGAGTCTGAACAGGAGTAAACTAGGACCTTGATACACAAGGTGAGGCCCAGGGACCAGCGGCGCGTCAGCATCGCATCGTGTGGGGCTTAGGCGAAAGGAGCCACGTGCCTAAGAAGAGGACCTGCCGGGGCTACCCAGAGTGACTCTGGGGTCTGGACTTGGGCTCAGGCAGAGCCCAGTCATGCAGGTCTGAGTTGGGGCCCAGCGCTGCCCTGAGTCTCTGGGCCGCCTAGAGCAGAAATTTAACACCTGAGACCCCACTTCCCCCTCTGACCAAGCGGGTAATGATAGCACTGAATGTGGGCACTTCCGTGCAGGGCAAGCTCTCAGGAAGCCCAGCGAGGGTGCTCGACTATTCAGAGCTGCTCCCCCTATGCCTAGAACAGGACAGGGGCGGCGACTGGGATGGAGAAAGCAGGAACGTGGGGTACTTGGGGTATGCTGAGCCCCATTCCGGCCTCGTTCTGCTCCTGCCGGCCCTCTCTTAGCTGCTTCGGCATTCCCCAGCTGCTCCAAGCTTGCACTCTCAGGGATGGCAGCCCCCATGCCCATCGCAACCCCCACACTGGCTCAGACAGGTCTTAGTTGCCAAGCCTTCAAGACTGAACAGACATGGAAACTCTCGCCCAGAGAGAGCAACGTGACCAGCCCAGGGGCAGACAGCGGCCTTCTGCTCTCAGTCCAGTGCGCTTCCCACACAAGACGCCCAGGGGCTGCCCCTGACCTCTGCAAGGAGCCCTCCCTCGCCCAGCTCTCACCTGCCTCCGTTGCTTGAAGCACCATAACCAGAAGGACGAGAGCAGCCAGGCCCAGGGACGGCAGGTTGGCCATACTGCTGTCCTGCTGTCTCACTCAGGTGACTACAACTCCACAGAACAAGAGGAGCTGGTATTTAAAGGCTGGGATGCTTATAACTTTTAGTCACCGTTGTCGAAATCTCTGACATTCATATTGTGAAAGAAGAACTCCCACTTCCTCCACACTGGTGGAGGCCACTCAGAGGGGACCCCCGTCCTGCCCTCTGTTCTGGGTCCCTAGAGACTAGCAAATTCCCCCTTGAGCTGGGCCTCTGTGTGATCTGTGCTAAACATGTTGGGTGGTGCTGCCGGTTTCAATGGATGGCTCTGGGACTCAGCTTCCTCATTTGGAAACGGGGAGATGGTTTCACAGACCAATCTATTTACCTCAGTATTGTTTGTAAATCAGGTGAGAATGTGCATAGGAGGGAGTTAGTCTTCAACCCCTCCCTGCAACCCAGCCCCATCTTGTACCCTTGGAGATCTCCATTGAGCTCTCTTCAAAAGGTGAGGCCTACGGTCCCGTGGGTTGGTAGCCCAGCCCAGCAGCTGAGGGCTTCTCACAAAGTTCCAACTTGGGCCAGCACACAGTCCTCTCAGCAGGAGCAGAGAGCTTCCACCTTGCCTGCCTTCCCTTCCAGCCGTCTTCAAGCCTTTCTCAATCTGTCACCCTTCCCCACTCAGCCTTTCCTCAATCTCTCTCAAACCCATCTCCTTCTCTCTGTCTCCACTGTCCCTTCTCCATATGGCAGTGACAGGGTGGCCCAGACTCAAAGAGGCACCTCTCTCCTGCTGAGGTTGTGGCTGTTATTGACACCCCCCCCCCATGAGGGAGGAGCTCACATTCTTGACTCTGGACTTTGGGTCTCCTTTTCAGATGAGCCCACCCACAGGGGTTCCGCCCCCAGGGCTCACACCACACCCCTCACAGTTCCTTACCACAGTCAATCAAAGGGCGTATGCCCTGTCCCTGGCTATAAATGGCCTTTTCACTTCTCTGCAGTATAAACTCCTACACATATGTCAAGAGCCCCTGAAATGTCACTCTCTGGATACACACTTCCCCACCAGTACTTCAAAGTTCTTTGGGGTGACCTAGAACATGACTGTAACCAGATTACATCAGTTTTTCTCTTTCTCAGTCCTCTTCCTGAATACTTAGCTCTTGGAAAATAGGGTTATTCCTTGGCCTTCCCAGTGTCTTCCAGGAGTGGGGTGTGTGGCAGGTGCTCAGAACACATCTAATATATGAGGAAACTGAGGTTTGGGGATTTGCCAAAGGTCACACAGCCAGTAAGTGACTGAGTGAACTCAGGGCCCAGGACTCCGTTAGGAGAGGGCCTCATCATTCATTCATTCATTCATTCAACAGATATTCTTTGACCCCCTTGGTTAGTAGAATAACACCCCCTTACCCCTGACTTTACATCCCAATTCTTAATACCTTTGAATATATGGTAAAAGAACTATGCAGACATGTTCAAGGTGAAGACCATAAAAATGCGTGGTTGGGGCCTCCCTGGTGGTGCAGTGGTTTTAAAGCACAGACTAAGAAGCTAAAGCCACTGCAGCATGAGTTCAAACCCCCACCTGCCCCAGAGGTGATCCACATGGTGCGGCAGACCTCTCCTGACCCGCCTGCTGCTCCCCTCAGCAGTGCACTTCATCAGTAGACCTGTTCTGCTCCCCACTCTGTCTCTGGTGAATCCTCTTACCGCCCCTCCACCTCTGGCCTGTACCCCAGTTCTGTATGCACAAATAAATCTTAAAAAAATGGGGGATTTTTCTGGACTGTCTATTTGGGCCCCCCATAACCACAGGGCCATAATAAGAGAGAAGCTATAGATCAAATTCAGAGCTGGAAAGAGGACAGACGTGAACCCCAGGTACTCGGGGCCATGAACCCAGCAAGCAGGCAGCCTCTTGAACATGGAAAAGACAAGGAAACAGATTTTCCCTGGGAGCTTCTGGAAGGAACCCAGAACCCAGAATACTGTTGCACCTAGATTTTAGTCTGCTGAGGCTGATTTAGGACTTCTGATCCCCTGAACTGTAAGATACAAAATTGATTTTGTTTTCAGCCACTAAGCCTGTGACATTTTGTTACAGCAGCAAGAAACCCATACAAGCCCCCTGTCAGGTACTAGGTGTACGTGGAGTTTACAATAAACTGGGAAACAAATATCTATCAAGGGAATGTTGGGCTGTGGGGATGCAGTGAAGAAAGTAAAACAGAGAAAAGCAGATAGTGACTATAGGGAAGCTTGGGGTAGCCAGGAAAAGCCTCCTGAGAGAGGACATTCAGACTGAAACCAGGAAGCCTGCCAGAAAGGAAAGGGCCAGGGCTGAGGCGCTGGGGGAGAGCAGGAGGGAGAAGTGGTGGGGGGCGGGGTCAGTCAGGGTCTATGCTCAGCTGCTGTTCCTGGGGGCATCTGCAGCAGATCACCCCTGAAGCCCTCTTATCAAAAAGTGTTACCCCAAAGTCCATCACAGGACCAGCTGCAGGAGTCTTCTTCTGCAAGGCTCCTAGAACAGCCTGGTTTATAGAGTCAATGCGTGGGCACCCGGGGCTGGGAGGAGGAAGGAAGGGGGAGATTTAAAGGGGAAAGAGTTTCAGTTGGGGAAGATGGATGGGTTCTGCAGAGGGGTAGCCGCGGTGGTGGCTAGCAGCACTGTGAATGTACTCAATAGAGATATTAAAATATAATGTACTGATGCAAATGTATTTACATATGATATTAGTATATTAATATAAATGTATTTAATGCCACCAGTCTGGACACTTATAAAGTGGTAATTTTTGCATTATGCATACTTTACTAATTAAAAGCAAAGCAAAGATGCTCCCTATCGCATGTCATCAAGGGAATGTGATTTAGATGAAGATGGAATGAATACAACACACCCCTGTCAGGATGACTCAAGTCAGAAACAATGACAACATCAAGTACTGGTGAGGATGTGGAGTGATGGGGACTGTTGTTCATTCCCTTGGGGGCGAGAAAATGGCACAGCACTCTGGAAGGCAGCCTGGCAGCCTCTTAGAAAGCTAATCATGCTCTTGGGCCCTCCTTGGTGGTGTAAAGGGTTAAGTCATAGCACTATCTGCAGCCACTGCAGCATGAGGTTGATCCCCGGCCAGGGAGCTGACCCACATGGCAAAACAGACCTCTCCTGTCTCACACACTGCTCCCCTCAACAGTGTATTTCAGTCCATCTGCCTTTTCTGCTCCCCACTCTGTCCTTGGTGAATCCTCTCATCCCCCGCCTACCTCTGGCTTGTATCCCAGTTCTTGTGTGTATACATAAATAAATCTGAAAATAAAACAAACAAACTAATCACGCTCTTACCATACCATCCAGGGTCATGTTCTTGGTATTCATCCAAAGCACATGAGAACTTACATATGCCCAAATGCCTGCATTAGAGCAGCTTTGTTTATAATTGCCCAAACCTAGACAATCAGGATGGCCTCCCTGTAGGTGAGTGGGTCAATGAACTGCAATGCGGCCAGGCAATGAACGGAGTGGAAAGGAGTAGAATGGGTCTTGGCACAGGGCCAGTGATTGGTCCCTCCGGGTGAGGGAACTGGCAGCCTGGAGGGAATTGTAGAGCAAAGGAAAGCTCTCCCATAGGTTCTCCACCAGGCCATGGAAATGCCCAGTGAGCAAAGTGCTTGTGCTAAGCATCAGAGGTGTCTAAACATTATATATTTCCAAATGGAGACAAATATGGCCATAACTGTGCAAGAACAGCTGAAAGAAATGGAACAGGAACCCACTGGCACTCCTAACGGATTGTCTACACAGGAAGTTGGAAGGCCAACACGATGCATTGTCTTTGGAAGACCTGAGCATTTTTCCCAGGGGCTATAAAAGGACGAGTATGTTTCATTATTGGAGACTTACACATTCCCAACTGTGGCAAAGCACACTGGGATTTCAATGAAAATAAGGTGAAAGAGGAAGACAATATAGACTGATATCCAAGGACTAGAATGGTGTGATGACTTTCATTTCACAGCTTCTCCAGATCCGGGACTGAATCCCCACAGGTAGATAGATATTCTGCAGTAAAGTTTTAACTGGTTTTAAACTTGAAACTTAAAAACTTAAACATTTTAAACTTTTAGTTGGAGGGAATACAGTTAGACCTAGCTTCTGAAATCTTCATCAACTCTCTCTGTATTATACTTTTTACTATAAAACTATGGTACACTTGTAGGAAAACAAGCTATTTTATAATGAAAAGGCATGAAAGAAACTTAAATGCTTATTGTTAGGTGAAAGCAGTCAGTTTGAAAGGGCTGCAGACTGTTTGACTCCAGGTAGAAGGCATTGGAGACAGTGGTCAGGAGTGGGGAGGAGGTGGACACGGAGGATTTTTAGGGCAGTGAAACTACTCTGATGACTTCAAAGCACACATGTCATTTAATGTAGAATGAACACCACGAAGATTGAACTGTGGACTCTGGGAAATTATTACCTGTCTGTGCAGCTCCTTGATTGTAAAATATGAACCATTTGGATAGGGAATGTTGATAATAGGGGAGGCTGTGTGTGGGGGTGCAGCAGGTAAATGGGACTTCTCTGTACCTTCCTCTTAATTTTGCTGTGAACATAAAATTTCTGTGAAAAAATGAGTTGTGGGGTAAAAAGAAAGAAAGGGGTTACCCAGAATCTGATCAGCCCTTGTCTAACTTCCAGTTTACATGAAATACAGGGACTAGAGGAAGAAGATGAAAGACCCTATGAGAAAACAGACAATTCAGAAGGTGAAACATTCCAGAACTTCTACAAGACAACTGTCCCAGGATCAACAGAAAGAAAAACCAATGCTGTTTTAAAAAATACCAACTGGGTAGGGTCATTTAAGATGAAAAGATTTAAGGGGCGTCGCAGGCACACAGATGTACGACTGTTTTTGAAAAATAGCTCTAAAAGACGTTTTGGAGCCCAGTAGGAAAATTTAAATATTATATTATATTAGGGACCCAGTAGTGATTTTCTCAGGTGTAATGATTTTAAGAGTGT